CTTTAACACTTTAAATCATAATCTCTTAAATCTTACACTTTTCAAAATTAACCGACAAATATTTCCTATTTTTGCCCCAGCTAAACCATTCAGATTTATCAATATCACGATACATATATGCAAATTGCTTGTACATTAAGCGTATGCTCTTTTGCTACATACTTCAAAATGAGAACACATGCACGCAAATTATTCGAGATCTATATATTTCACAAAAAAGTGGACAAACAAGACCCAATTTACACCATATAAATGTATAGACTAGTCGAGATTACTTAAGACAAGATAAAAGGTATGCATGACTTAAAATGTGAATACCAATAAGGAAGAAAATACTTCACTTTTCTCCCTAAGCAACAAATGGCAACAGGTAAGTGTGAAAAAGGACAAAGAATTTGCAAAGAAAGACAACAATAATTTGGCCTATCACCATGAAATCTTAATTGAAGGAAAGATCTTGTTTGGTGTCTCTCTGCCATTAACAACTAATTACGTAGTTCCTCCAAGAACTTGTACTCGTTCATCTCCTTCCTCCACTGCTTGAACTCCCTGCTGAAAATGGTACTTCTTTTCTTTTGTTTTTCGGCCTTTGGGTTCACTGTCGTTGTTAATCTTCAACCATTCCTATCTTGGAATTTTGCTTTCTTTTTTTTGTTGGTAATCCTCGTCTGTGAATGAAGCCGAGTCAATGGTTCTAGTGAAAGAGCGATCGATCGTCTAAGGGAACACGTTAAGCTTGTTAAGTTTATAGTCCAAACTAGCACATGACATATAGCAATGTGCATCAATCAAGGAGAAATTTCATTATCTTGTTACCTGCTTTCAATATATTATCCAGGATAGGTTGCGGAACTCATGGACGTGACGCCTCTTGTTCAAAAAGCTCAACGCATGAACTTATATAAAGGGCAAGACGTTCGCGGCTCCACACAATTGTGTGATCTACCTGATGACATTATTTGGCACATCCTAAGTTTTTTCCAACCGATGCAAGAGTATGAATCTGAATTTAATTGCACACACATCGGTGTGGAGATTTGTATTATATTTATAGCTGTGCATGAGTGGGAAAATTACAATTGAAAAGATTTTACAAAAGGTAAGAATCTACAATATTAGCACAGACTGTAGAAGAATTGCTTTATCAACGGAATTGGCATAAATTGTGGAAAATTGACTCTATCAATAAGATTGGCACGGATTGTGGAAAATTGCTCTATCATGGCAATTTACTCTATCTCACTCCGTCAAGCGAAACATTGGAGGAGTCACTGTGAGCTTGCTACGTAATATAAGAAATCAAGATATGGATAAAGGCTTTGTCATGACATCAGCCGTTTGCACCAATGTAGGAATAAAGCGAACTTCCAACTACTTCTTGTTGATTAAATCATGAACAAAATGATAGTCAATTTCCACATGCTTGGTTCATGCATGGAAGATGGGATCTGCAGTTACATTATCACAAAGAACTAGTGGTGACCAATGGAGAGTGTATCGAAGATCTCGGAGGAGTTGTAGTAACCATAGAAATTCAGAGGTTGTATTAGCCGCCCCTTTGTATTCCGATTCGGTGTTGGACCAAGCAACGGTTGGTTGCTTTTTAGAACTCCAAGAAACCAAGTTGGGACCAAAATAAATATAACAACCACTAGTGGACTTTCGGTCATCAAGGCAACCAGCCCAGCCAGCATCTATAAATGCGGTGAAGGTCAGTTGGGGCACAGGCCGCAAGGTAATCCCATGATGAATAGTAGCATTGAGATAGCACAAAATTCGTTTGACTGCTAACCAATGATCGACAGTTGGACAGTGCATAAATTAGCACACTTTATTTACAGCAAAGGATAGATCTAGCCTGGTAAGAATGAGGTATTGCTGTGCCCCAACCCTACTCCGATATGTGGAGGTATCAACTAGTGGTTCACCACGTTGCTTTGACAACTTAGAAGCCGAGGGAGCCATAGGCAATGAGCAAGGTTTTGCGTCGGCTATGCCTGTGCAAATGAGAAGGGCAGTAGCATACTTGGATTGAGTGAGGGACAACCTAGTAAAGGATCTATAGACTTTGATGCTAAGAGAGTAGGATAGATTTCCCAAATTAGTGATTGCGAACTCAATGCCAAGCTAAGTGATTAATTTGGTGATGGAGGAGGTAGAGCTCCCAGTAATGATAATATCGTCAACAAATCCGAAGATGACATGCATTGCCAGGATAATGTGAATCACCAAATCCTTGGGGCTACTTCATGTAGACTTCTTCTTTAATGGTGCCATTGAGAAATGAATTCTTGATGTCCAATTAGCATAGAGACCAATTATAAGTAACAACTAAGGAGAGAAAAACTCAAATCGTTGTCAGTTTGATAACTGGACTGAAAGTTTCATCATAGTCCGAGCCAACCGGTTGAGTAAAGCCCTTTCGCAACGAGTCGTGCTTTGTGTCTATCAATGGAGCAATCAGCCTTGGTTTTTTGGGCTATAAATCCACTTGCAGTTGACCACAGTCATAGAAGGGTGATGAGGAGCTAATTCCCAAATGCCATTTTGAATGAGAGCATTAAATTCACTAGCCATAGCTTGTTGCTAGTTAGGGTCTTTATTTGCAACGGAAAAACAAGTGGGTTCACTTGGTGTCAAGCTTGAGTGAAAACAAGAACAAGGTGGGTGCTTAGTGGAGAGAAAAACCTTTGGTTTGTGGATGTTATTTTTTAGACGAGTGATCATTGGTTAAGTAGAAGTTGGCAGTTGAGGTTGAGAAGATAGTACGGATGGATCTTCTAGGAACAAGATCCACATGGAATTGTGGAAGTAGATGATTGTTAAAGTTATGATGAGAAGTTGCCCATGATATTATATTGATGTAGTAGTGGACACCCCCTAAAGTTGTAGGGGCTTAATAGAGGAATAACCAATGCAAACAAGAGCACTTGGCAATGGTGAGGACAATTGACTAGATTGTGATTTAGCAAGTGGGAACAAGTGCTCTTGGAAAACCACACGGCAAGAGATATATATATATATATATATATATATATATATATATATATTCAGATAGTGCTACGATGTAGACAATGATAGCCACAATGATGAGGAGAATAGCCAATGAAGATACATTGCATCATTCTATCATCAAGTTTATGGCAACTATAAGGTTGCAGCCAAAGGTAGCAGGCGCAGCCAAAGGTAGCAACCACATCCAAAAACATGCAACTGTGGATAATCAAGTTTCTGGTCAAATAATTTCTCATGAGGAGACAATCCACCCAACACCGTTGTAGGCATGCGGTTAATTAGAAAGACCGGAAAGCATCAGTCCAATATAGACGAGGAACAGAAGCTCGGGTAAGTAATGTGATGCCAGTTTCTACAACAGACGGTGTTTGCGCTCAACCCGACCATTTTGTTCCGGTGTGTACGGGCATGAGAGATAGTGTAGAATGCTATAAAGACGAAAATAAGGATCAAATTTCTTATACTCACCACCTCTATCAATTTAAAGGGCTTTTACTTTACAGTTGAAATGTTTTTCCATTTGGAATTTAAATTGCACAAAAGTAGAGAGAGCGTCCGATTTCACAATAGTGGAAAGAACCATGTGAATCCACTATAAGTATCAATAAAAATGATATAATAATCAAAACCTTTCACTGACGTAACGGGAGATGGTCCCCATAGATCAGAATAAAGTATTTCCAAATGAGCATTATAAGTGGTTAATGATCTAGTAAAGGGAAGACGATGCGACTTGCCTAAGTGGCACGATTCATAGAAACTAGATGAGGAAGAAGCAGATATTGACAGGCCATGCTTTGAAATAACTTAAGAAGTAATGCCGGCAGTCGGATGACCCAAGCACTCATGCCAAATAGAAGCAAAAACTCATTCACCAACGGAGCAGGATGGAGCTGGTTGTGATTTATTGAATTGCATAGGATCCTTATTGGTGGTATGTGCATTATTATTATTATTATTATTTTGGTGTAAATATGTGAATATCATTAATCATATGAGGTATAAAGGCTTAGGGAAAACCCTTAGCATTTCAAGAGAGACTAATTATGCGAGATGATGAAGGAAGGAAACCTCCATACAGTAGCCAATAAAATATTTGCCTGGGAAGACCTACATTGTTCGTAGAGTGACGCCCTACCTCTTACAACTTTTCGAATCCTAGCCAACATAAAATGAGCTTTAATTGACTTGTTTTGAAATCGTCTACAGTTGCGTTCCATCCATATGTAATAGATAGTCACTAAGAAAGACAGTTTAAGGAGTCTCGCCTCCAAGTTTTTGCCCTTGGTGGCCCTAATCATCCATTTAAGTTCTAGATTCCAACCTCTTGCAGAACGCCAAGTTCCATTTTGTGCCAGAATACTAGCCATACACTACTAGTCCAAGTGCACTCAAAGAATAAGTGGTTTCTGTCTTCTATACCAGTCATACAAAAATTACACTTAGTATCATCTGAAGACAACTATCGTGATAGGGCTACTACTGTCGGTAGCCTCTCTCTACAAACAAGCCAATCGATAAAATTATGTTTGCTAATACCACTAATCCAAATTAATTGATATCATTCCATGGTCAGTCCCTCCTGTCTGAATTCCCTGTGTATCTCTTTGCAACAATATATTTGCCTCGAGATAATAGGTGTTAGAGCAAGTCTTAGCTTGAGAATACATCGCCAACTCCAAGCCATATTGCCCTTCATGACGAGTTGCATAATAGCAGTACCTGTACATTTAGTGTGATGAACCCAAGTACTCCATAGGGATTGGGACAGATGATCCGGGTTGTCGGTCACAGTACAATCAATAGTAGTGATAGAGGGTGCTAGACAAGGATACGAGCCATCCACAAACTGAAGATACCATGAAGACGAAACAAAGGAAGAAATTGTGCTCTCCACAGAAGGTAGTTGCTGCGATCTAGCTTGATTTGGAGAACATGAGATATATATCTAAGAGCAAAGGGTGGTTGGGAGGGGACCAACAAGGATGGAGAGTCAGCACAGATGTGGCGGTAACAAGGATGGACGGTCCGCAGAGATGGTGGCGGTAATGGCGTTGAAGGATGTGGAAGAAGACATTGTAATTAAGAAGAGAAATAATATGAAAAAAAATTTAGAATCTCTGGTACCCTGCAAGAGTATGAATCTGAATTTGATTGCACATATATTGGTATGGAGATTTGTATTATATTTATAGCATATACACGAGTGAGAAAATCACAATTGAAAAGATTTTACAAAAAGTAAGAATCTACAATATTAGCATAGATTGTAGAAGATTTGCTTTATCAACAGAATTGGCACAAATTGTGAAAGATTAACTCTATCAACAGGATTGACACATATGGTGAAAGATTGCTTTATCATGAAAGATTTGCTCTATTAATTCAGATGTGGTGAGAACGAGCACTCTATCAGAAAGGTGGGAGTACTTGTCTAGGAACAATCAAAGGCTCGACATCTCGGAAAGCAATTTTCCAGAGAAGACACATTTCGTGAACTTTGTGGACAGAGCATTGTCACTCCACGACTTTCCCCTGAAAATGTTTTCCCTCTTCTGCAAAACTGTTTTTGTTAGATCTCGTATCGATGGTTGGATCACAGCCTCAATAAAGCGCAAAGTTAAGGAGCTCCGTGTGGGCTTAGTTGGAGGAATGCTTGAATATGTGTTGCCTAGTTGTGTCTTTAACTGTGAAACACTGATTGAGTTGCATCTTTCTATGTCGCATGAATTGAGGCTCCCTTCTTTAGTTTATCTGAAAAATCTCAAGGTCTTAACTCTTGTGTTGGTTGATTTCGGAGGCGATAGTTCAGTAGAGAAGTTCCTTCCGTGCCCTTTTCTTGAGGAGTTGGTTTTCAATTATTGTAGATGGAGGAGACTCAAGGTTCTTCATATATCTACTCCCAAGCATTTGGGGCTGCAAATAGTTGAACAGCCCTTGTATGAGGATTTGGAAAATACATTCTGTTTAGGAGTCAATGGAGCTCGTATCAAGTTCGTTGCCTATATTGGGCCCTTAATCAATTACTATACAATATCGAGTTCATCCTCCCTAGTTAGGGCTCGCATTAATCTCGACATGTTTGGATGGCCTCATCATCATCATTTTGCTTACCATGAATATAAGCTCTTAAAGGATCTTTCTAGTGCAATCACTGGGGTTGACCCCAGTGGCTACCCTTCTTACTTGGGAAGGGAGCCCACCTCCTTAGGGGGCTAGGAATGGGGACGTTTAGTTTCAGTTGTGGGTTTCGATTCCCACACTCTACATGTCGATTTGTTGTACTCTTTAGTGCTTCAGCCTTTATTCATTGAATCATACAAGTATTTCATGTAGTTTTTTGATAATTCTGAATCTTTTATGGCAATATGAACTTCCTTATGTCTTTTGGCTTTCTTATTAAGTTTTTATTCGAGAGACTAGATCTTTGCAAGTCTCTCCCAGTCTTCTCTAACCTCGGTGAATAACGGAGGACTAATCATTTCATGTTAAGGGATGATAAATTTGAACTAAACTACATATATTATTTTATTTACAAAATTTTACTAAAATTTAGGTATGAAGACCATCATCAGGCCCCGCAAGCCTATCTATGATGGGGGTGCCTGGACACGAGGTCCCTGACATTCTATTGGTTTTTGTCGATGATCGACGACAAAAGATCGTACATCGCGGGGGACGTCGAATCTATTGCGAGGGGAGAGAGAGAGGAAGAGATGTTTTGCCACTGGTGGGTTGCCGTAGGGGAAAAAGAAGACTAAAAGAGAAAAAAGAGAAGGTCTTCTTGAGATGTTGTCGGAAGATTTCTAATAGAGAAATTGGAGGTCGTGCGCGCGGTCAAATTTCACCAAACACTCAAAGGTCAAAGGCAGCCGGGGTAAAGGTCTAGGCTCACAAGGTGTTCTATTGAATCTCCGACCATATTTATGCCCTTGAATTATAAGAGAAAAAGCACCATTCATAATAGAGAAACCTCGAGTTATCGAACACGTCCACGTACCGAGCCACGGGTGCATGGTACTTAACAGGAAGTATGGACAGAAAGGTTAACAAACATATCATTCAACAAGTTAAACGTGTCGCTTTTTTTCTTTATAGAGATTTTCAAAATGACATGTTAAGATTGTTCTTATCAAAGATCATCCTTTTTTCCTTTGGTACACTGCAACAATCAATATTAAGATTGTTCTCTCTAGCTCTGCTTCTCTATCCAACCAATCAATCAACAGGTCCGAGTCGTTTGTCTCTCCCTCTCGCTCTTGTTTCTGTATTTGTGCTCTCAGTCTAAACATTTTGTAATTCAAGCCGCCATTTTTGGATAGATGTCCATGTCCAACGAATCAGCTGCTCTTTACATGTTCTAAAGCATGTACAGATGTTAGATTTTCTTCTTTTTTTTTTTTGGATTTGGCATGTTGCTTGGCAAGAGCTTCATCATCATCAAGAGTGCCATATATAGGCGTTTGTGTTAGCTCATTCAATATTTGTTCTTGGATGAATATGAAAATAGAGTGGAGGACAGTGGAAAATTGGGTGAAGAGCTGAGGCGGGCTGATACTGTTGTTCTTACGTATGCATGTGATCAGCCTGCTACCCTTGATCGATTGAGTACCTTTTGGCTTCCAGAACTTTGTCGATTAGAGGTCAGGTATTGTAAATTGGTCTTTGTTTCTTGATTCGCTGCAATCCATAAGAAGGAATTGCAACTTCCGTCAAAAACTATTACTCTTGATCGCTGAAGTCAATGATAACAAGTTAGTTTTTATAGGGAAAGCCTTGTGAACTAGTCTCCAGTCTGGTGGTTTAGTCACTGAGCAGAAATCTCTTAGATATCATCTTTAGGTAAAAGTCCCGGTTATAGTGGTGGGTTGCAAACTAGATTTGAGAGACGAGCATGAGCAAATTAGCTTGGACGATGTGACGGCACCAATAATGCATCAATTTCGGGAGATCGAAACTTGTATGGAGTGTTCAGCTTACAGCCAAATTCAGTTTTTGGTTGAATGATCAGCTCTCTTGTATTAATTATAGTGATCTAATAATGTTCTCTCTTTGTTGAGCATTTTTCTCCCTGCCGATCCCGGAGATTTTCTGCTATGGACAAAAGGCTGTTCTTCATCCTACCGGCCCACTATTTGATCATGAGACGCAAACTCTAAAACCTCGTTGTGTCAGAGCCATGAAGCGGATTTTCATTCTCCGTGATCATGATAGGGATGGTGTCCTTAGTGATGCAGAGCTAAATGATTTTTAGGTCTCCTTTTGTGCTTTCAATGGTGTATCTTCTCATTGGAACTTCTTGTACATCTGATGCTGTTTTTTTCCTTCTTCGGGAGTTCAAGTGCCAAGCAATTCTGATAGCTCAGCATCATCCCTGGCTATTTTAAGGAAATTTTAGCAAGCATATCTCCTGCTATGTAGTCTTTGGCATGTGTTCGTATCACCTCAGTTCATGTACATGACAGGACAAATGTCTTAACGCGCCTCTACTGTCTTCTGAAATAGTGGGAGTCAAGAGGGTTGTCCAAGGGAAGTTGTCCAAAGAAGTCAATGAAAATGGGCTGACATTGACAGGATTCCTGTTTCTCCATAGGCTGTTCATTGAAAAAGGATGTCCGGAGAAAACTTGGACCGTTCACAGGAAGTTTGGTTATGACAATGATATCAAACTAGCAGAGAACCTAATTCCATGTTCATTTAAAAGAAGTCCTGATCAGGTACCTATATGTTGGACATAAATAGTAAAGTTACCGTTGGTTGATTTGTTTTTTGCGTGGAGCAATATGTTGATGGCTTCTTATTTCATGACTTTGTTTTTTCATTACTTTAGCCAAAGTAAAAGACTATTTTTTATTTACCTGAAGGTACAACTGTTTCGCCTTAGTCACGTGAATGTGATGTGGTGTGATATCTTAGTCAAATGAGAATTTGGAAGACCTTTTTTTTTTTTTTTTTGGTCAGCAATTTGGAAGACCTTGAATCACAAAAGTTGGTTGATGTATTGAAAGGTCTTTCGATACTTTTTAGCTACTTTATTTCTCACATTATTCGAAGTAACTTATCATTCTGGGGCAATGAATGCTGCATACTCGTAAATGTGCATACAATTATGCGGTCACTGTCAATATTTCAATTGCTACTACTTGACTTAATCTGTTTCAATCTGGAAGTTGTCTGATCATCCCACTCACCTTTTTCTATGGAAATTGGAATATCAATCTTCCTTTAAGTTTCTATGGTTGCTGACGAGCTAGCGGGATGATTACATGTTTGCACTAAGTTGAAGAAAATGACGTATGTATGCCAAATGATCAAATTTTCAATGTGTAAAGCTACCTGGAAGTTGTGCCTCTCTTCTGCTACAAACAGCTAATAGTTGTTTTTGTCTTTAAGAAAAATTACATTCAGGTCAATATAGTCTTTGGTACTGAATGTTAAATTATTTCTACTGACGGTGTTTTAAATAGCATAAAAGTTGTTGCATATTTCGGTTTTCCTCTGTGTAGAGCGTGGAGCTGACAAATGAAGCTATTGAGTATCTCAAGGGGATATTTGAGTTATTTGACATTGATGAAGTATGTCCACTCTCATTTCAATTCCCAACTATCCACCTTACTTGAAGCTTTAATCTAACAATTCGACCTATGTTGCTGGTCACAGTCTTGTCCTGAAGTTCTGAGAATCTTAACTTTCAGTATATTACTTTACAGGACAGGGCTCTACAACCTATTGAAATCGAGGATCTCTTCTCCACTGCACCAGAATGGTAATCCTGTTTCTGTTAGAAGCTTCTGCTGGTCATAAGCTGCTTCTCTGCTTTCTGTATAATGAGTGGCTTCTTGTTCTAAATCAGTGCAAACTAGTTATTTGTGCATCCACATTACACCCCTAGATGGTAATGGGATTAAGGGAATATGTTAGGTGAAATTACTTCAGATATGAATGTGCAATTCCAAGTAATGCATGTTTTATTTGAAGATATGGTTGTAATGCATGAGCAATGTATATTCTGTGTGCACTTTACCACTAAGTTGTTTGTAAGAGATTCTAAATGTATAGACCTAAGGCCTGCTTTCTACATTCAGTCTGTGGAAAGAAGATCCATACAAAGACGCTGTAGAAAAAACTGCATTGGGGGGACAATCACTGGATGGATTTTTGTCTCAGGTATGAGCATTTACATAACCTTTTAATCTTTTCTCCTTTAAGTCGTACTTCAATTGTCACAGGCTGATATGGGCGATGATGATGGCAATATGCTTGTATATGAAAGTGTTTGGTATAAGAATGTTCCTTCATTCATATTTGAAAAAAGCCATAACATCTTGGCTGGGACTCATCTGATTGAGGTGGCCGCCACTGGATATTTCTTTTCACTGGTGGGTATGATCTTGATTTGCTAGTTATCCACCAAGTTTCGATCGCTGTCTAACTTCAATGCTTTATAAATACACAGGTATGAATTGACGTCAGTGCTAGGAATCCTGGCAAGGTTCAGGCTGCCCTTAGGAGGATCTTGAATGAGGTGGTTTTAGAGCCATTGTGAGAGCAACCGTACTATGAGGTTGATTTTGACCAGAACCTGGTCTTATTAATGGTTCTAGTTACGATGTTTTGTTAACTTCCTCCCTTGAAATCTTGATTTTAACAGATTAGAGAACCCTTCTCCATAATGTCCCTGGTGAAGAGCCCGATGGGTCTCATGGTTGGGTTCATGCTGTTTGTCATTTTCCTAATGATGAAATTAGTTTGGTACATGGTTAAGTACTCATTCCCAATATCATAATCCCACCATAATGATCTTGAGGATATGCATTTATTTTGTTGGTGTGCATCACGGAATTTGCTGGCGGCCTAGTGATATTATATACCTTTTTAATTGATTTCCAGTTGAGTCGGCTTGCAAGCACTTATCTTCTTGCTTGTCCGTTTATTAGTTTGCTTGTTCATGGTAATAGATCCTGAAGAAATGAGGCGAGCTCAAGAAGAGATGAGGAATCGAGGAGTTCCATTCCTGCAAACTTGTTGCCTGGAGCGGCAAGGGGCAACTAATTACTGCAGTTTGATTACCAGGAATCTATCATTGTCGATGACATCTTCAATCGTCAGGAGGAATGACGTGGCCAAAAATTTACTTGCGAAGAAGATTTACTGAGGAGAAGATCAAATAATCATTTACACAAGCATTTTCTCTTGCACCACTTGGTGGATAATTGACTCTTGCAGGATACTCTAGGGATGAAGTTGTTTAGCTTGATGCTTGAGGCCCACATTTGTGAGACTCACCAAACGTGTACCTTCTTCATATAGATTTGTACCTCTGCTGTGTTGTACTATTAGCTACGAAGCAAGGGATGATATACAGAAGTGACTAACAAGCTTGCTGCTAATGTCGGATTGGCATATGAGGAATGGCTCTCTATTTTTGTGGGTGATGCAAAGCATTACCCAAAGGGAAAAAGAGACTTCGGTCCGCTTATCATAAGCACTCTGGATTTTAACTCAAAACATTAAATGACTGGCCTTCACTGGCAAATGGATATAATTTTGCCTGTGCTTGTCACAATCTCTGCAAGATATAATCATCTACGATTGTCACCTTATAGTTACTATTGCACAGTGCCTATGGTCCTGGACTATTGGCATGCAATGACATTCATACTAGGAATCTGAGCAAATACAGCGGAGAATGGAGCCACCGTAATCGGATCTGAGTGGCTTACATTTACTGGATCTAAGGAAGGAATATTGCCAGATGAATATGTGTTTAAAACTTTTCCATTGAGAAGCATGTCTTGACTCCGTATATTTCCTTCTTTGGCAGTCATGCGATAATCTTCTCTGATGTTTCCATTATTAGATGACCCACTTGACATTCTAGAAAATTTTGTCCTTTGAGTTTGGCTCTCTTGATTCAAAGTTAATGTTCCATGACTGGCTACATCTTCAGTTGAAACGTGAACTTGGACAGTTGTGTTACCATCCAGGTTGATCAACAGCAAAGTGATACCAGACTGTTGATATCAAAAAACAGGATATTAGCCAACTCCACGGTCTATCCTCTTGTTTCAAGAGCAGAAGACGCTTACAGAGTTCTTTGAGCAATGAGCATAAGCGTAAATCTTTGCTGTGCCCGAGAAGCTAGTTAATAAAACATCGCTTCCCACCAAGTTATGCCAAAGAAGAGCACTGCAGAGCACGAGTGAAGTATTGGTTCAGCTTGAACCATCTGCTAAATAATTCACTTAGTTTGTTGATATAGTACAATAATATTGTTAGTCAAATAAATCCAGTTCTTCCGTTTGTTTCCATTTTTCTTTTCAACTTTGGATTCAAATTGGCCTGTACACTGACAAAAGCAGGATATTTCTTAGTTTACAATCTCCTCCAGCAAAGCTATTCCATTACCACTCGACTAATAGTTTTGCGTTATGTAGTATTAGAGTTCTAAATTTTTTCATGTGATATATATTAAAAAAAGAAAAAGGGCTATTAGAAAAAAAAAATTATCCCTTTCCTTTCATTTTATCTAGGTAATAGTTGAGTTGGATTAGGGTCTTCCAGCTAAAATCTCATGACTAACCAACCTGTAGTAATCTGGGTTTGGTTGGAATGTTTCAGTGTTTAGCAAGCCATAGTTTCCACCAATCAACGTCTGTCTGCAATATGTTTTTGTGCTGCGAGTGGCTGCCATTCCTAGTTGGTCCAAGTACCTATACAGCACAGATGACATAAAATTTCTTAGTGTCATGATCTCTCATCAGAACCATTAATATAAGTAGTCGTGTATGGGAGTTTTATTTTACCAAAAACGAAACACAAAGGAGTTAGTGACAAGGTTGCGGCCCCTATTATAAGCACCTCCGGCTTCACCAACCCATGCGACTGCCGAAGCTCCAAAATTCTTCAGTAAGAGTCCGAAGGCTGCGGAATGTTTGCACCGCACCATCAAGATAGGAAGGATCAAGGATCTTTTAAATAAGGTGGTCATCGACTCCTACATAAATCAGTTTAACTTGATGAAGCCGACGCACATCGTCTCAAAATAGTATAGTACAACAAAGGTTTGATTCTGAAGTGATATTACCTGGACCAAGGTAATAGATGTGGTGGGTGACAACTTGAAGAGTTTTACTTGTTTGATCTACAAAATCACTTTGCTCTTGTCCCAAAATACAACAAAAATACTACGAATCATCACTCCATTGAAAACAAATCAAACATCATACTACAGAATCACATTAATAACAATAGTAAAAGTTTATTAATATTGGATTGTGTTAAAGAGTTGTTTAAATTCTCTTTTGGATTTTTCTTGATAAGTGATCTGTAAGTTTACTAAAAAATGCGTAAAGAATTAGATTTATTGGAAATTTCCTTCTGCGACAATGCTAATATGTCATAGCAAAAAGAAAAAGATTACGTGGTGCTTTTAATATGAATGGTAACACTCACTTAAGGAATAGATAAAAAAAAAAAAAAGGAATAATGCTTACATGATGGTCCGTTACTCGTGCAAAGAGTGACGGACCATTACTGACCACAACATTTGCACTTTTGGAACCTTGTGACTTGTTTGTCCGGTTCCTGTAATGCAAACTAAGAAACAATTCTTTTATTCGTGTTTTTTCCCTTGAGGTCTGCAAACTTGTTAAGCAGAGAATGTGTAAACAAGTTATACAATGATTTTTTTCATCCTTTTATTTATTGACAAATTTTTACAAACTAGTTTCCTTTAAAAAATTCATGACACGTGAAATCACACAAAAATTCTACAATATGCATTTAATGCAGGAATGTCTGCTTTTTACCTATTGACCCAACTCTATGGAATTTTATGTAGTATTCCAATATATCATTTGAATTTTGTGTTTATAAATTTTCAAATAAAATATTATTTAAACATATGATGAACGGCGGATCTGTATTATTTAATGAGATATGGCATTCGAATTGGGACACATTATTTGCTAGATAATCAATGTATCATGCTCTAATTGATCATTTTAATGTGATTGATTACAGTAAGCATACTTTAAAGGGCATATTTTATTGTGAATTTTTCATTTTTTGGGCGGAGTACTTTTATAGAAGCGATATTTATATGACTGTTAACCTGAACTAAAACTTTAAGGAAAAAAAAAGGCTAGAATAAGACAAAGAGGACCAAACTTGACCTTTGGGTTGCCCCTCTCTCTAAAGTTGGAATATGCGGCTGGGAGTTTACCATTATTCTTGATAATAACGGTGACTATCAGCCTCGCGGCACCCATAAAAAAGGATATTATATTCTTAGCTATGGCAATGAGAATCATCCTAAAAAAAAAAAAAGGAAAAACGGAAAAATTGTTACGAAATTCAAATCGGCATTAGCATAAATATTACAAACAATAAAGAATTGTAAAGAAACGAAATTGCAATAACAAAGTCGGCATCGATACAAACGAATACCGAGGCCTGTGTTTGATACAGTTTCCTTAAAATAGATTCGTTCCCTCCAGTACGCGATTGAGGTTTCGTGAACGTCTGTCTCCCAGGATACAACGGTTGACAGCGAAGAAGAGAGCACGGCACTTCCAAGCTTCCGGCGAACTTGAACAAACTCGGAATGAACACTACCGAAAAACAGTGCAAAATGCAAAGAGGGTGTAAAACCAGAGGAAGAATGATTTCGATAAAAGGAACAGAGGGGAGAGCAATTCGGGAATAATAACGGACGATTAAATCTGTCGTTATGAAATCAATACGAATAACGGACGATTAAAT